TCTTGGATGTATTAACTACTAAAGAAAGAAGAAGTACAGAAACTATTTAACATTTGTGTATGGAATGGGTCAGAGTGATACTAAAATAGTAGGACCATTTCTACTATCTTTATTTTTTAAAGGATGTCAAATTAACTGAAGATGGCACAGAAATGACCAACAGAAACTGAGGACTAGAAGAAAAAAAAGACGTGCAGAAAGCAATGTTCTGATTAGTGTATTGAGACATCATCATAAACAAAAAGTACGAGGTGCTAAGGAGCTCTGCACTCTAAAGGGACAGGCACAATAAGCAGTAGTGGATGAGAGCTGAAGTATGTATGGGAAATAAGGCACAGATAAGTGATAGGGACTGATCAGTGAAGCAAAATGCTAAGAAACACTCATATTCTCCAGTGCCTTCAAACCAAGAGTGGATAGTCTTTCTGAAGGATATACTTTGTCTAACCAGAAGTTATTTGGCCCAATACAGAAGTAACTGCAGAAAACTGGGAGAATCTTGCAATTCACAGTGAGTCTGATTAAGTCATCTAATGAACCTTCCAGCCTTAAAGTGATATTAAGCCATGAAAATACTCTTTGTGGTAATAAACATGCTGCATGAGAGATAAGAATTTTACTGAATTTCAGTTTGTCACACGTCCTTCAGATAACCCAGTTAAGGATGTGGGGTTTGTACCTACGGCTGAATAGGTAGGCTCCCTAAACCCACAGATGTTCTGAAACCTGTGGGGAAATCCTGCAGAACACAGATCTTTCTGAAAGGGCTCTGGGCAGAGGCCCAAAGCCTTTTGTTCTGCATGAGCATGTTTCCCTTGAAAACTCTGCTCCCAGGTGCTCTCGGTGCACAGCAGGGAGAGGGTAAGGAAGGCAATGTGTATAGGTAACATGTATAGGATAAGTATTAGCTGACACTAAGAATTCCTGTGGTTTTCAGGAGGAAAGAGCAAAACTCTAAAATGCAGGAGGCAAAGTGACTGGAATTAGCAAGCTCTGGGGTGATAAAACTGGGAGGAGTGGTTGATACACCAGAAGGCTGTGCTACCATTCAGCAAGACTTGGGACAGGCTGGAGAGCTGAGCAGAGAGGAACCTGATGAAGTTCAACACGGGCAAGTGTAGGGTCCTGCACCTTGGGAGGAATCAATCACCCTATGCACCAGTACAGGCTGGGGGTTGACCTGCTGGAGAGCAGCTTGGCAAAGAACGACCTGGGACTTCTGGGGGACAACAAGTTGCCCATGAGCCAGCAATGTGCCCTCACGGCCAAGAAGGCCAATGGTATCTTGGGGTGCATCAGGAAGACTGTGGCCAGCAGGTCGAGGGAGGTGATCCTTCCCCTCTACTGTGCCCTGGTGAGGCCACATCTGGAGTGCTGTGTCCAGTTCTGGGCTCCCCAGTTCAAGAAAGACAAGGAGCTACTGGAGAGAGTCCAGAGGAGGGAAACGAAGATGATGAGGGGACTGGAGCATCTCCCTTGTGAGGAAAGGCTGAGTACTGGGCCTGTTCAGCCTGGAGAAGAGAAGACCAAGGGGGGATCTTATTAATGCTTATAAATACTTTAAGGGTGGACATCAAAAGGATGGGGCCAGACTCTTTCCAGTGGTGCCCAATGACAGGTTAAGGGGCAACGGGCCCAAACTGAAATACAGGAAGTTCCATCTGAATATGAGGAAGAACTTCTGTATTTTGAGAGTGGCAAAGCACCGGCACAGGCTGCCCAGAGAGGCTGGGGAGGCTCCCTTTCTGGCGATATTTCAAACC